AGAGACAACAAAAAAAAGTAAGATTTTTGTTTAGAGTTATACTGTTAAGAATGAGAAGCTTCAAGAAAACAAGAGGGAAGAGAAATTGACCTGATATTTCATGCAAGTGGATGGCTATGGGGCAAAGCTTACTCTTACTCTTGTAGCTACGTTGGTAAGAAAGACATTGGCTCTGAATTGGAAAGCTCATATGGCCTCTAGCTGCAGGGTTAGCAGAATTGATTCATGTCAGAGGCCTCCCTGGGTGTGCTTTCCACAACCAACGGGAGAAGATGGTTCCTGGGTCTCTGCTGCCCTCGTGGGGCCGGCGGCTGCTCTATTTGCGGTCAGGCCTCTTTACCAGGCTATTTCCCTAAACCTGTCTTTCTCCTAGACCTTTTGCTGCCTACTCCTTCAGCAAACCCTCTTCCACTGTGTTCTCCCTTCAAAATCCAACTGCCAGGAGCAGCTGCTTTCTCCCTCGGAAAGAACGTGCTCTCTAGATGGTATCACCTGACTTTGACTCTCAAGACTTCCTGACACTTTGCGGTAGTTTGGTGTGGAGGCAAGATGCAAGGAATTTGAAACCAGAGGACTTGATTTAAAATTTAGTTCTGCCATTTACTAGCTGGGTGACATTGGATATATTCATCTCCTTGAAATTTAATTTCCTCACTTTAACTTTTTTTTTTTTGAGACAGAGTCTCACTGTGTCACCCTCGGTAGAGTGCTGTGACATCACAGCTCACAGCAACCTCAAACTCTCAGGCTTAAGCGATTCTTTTGCCTCAGCCTCCCAAGTAGCTGGGACTACAGGTGCCCACCACAATGCCTGGCTATTCTTTTGTTGCAGTTGTCATTATTGCTTTAGCTGGCCCAAGCTGGGTTCAACCCCGCCAGCCTTGGCGTATATGGCTGGCACCCTACCCACTGAGCTACAGGTGTGGCCTTACTTTAAATTTTAAAAGATATTATTTAATAGATTTTAAAAAGATATTGGAAGTGAATGCCTCTCTCTCATTCCTGCTTCCTCACCTGTAGATGGAGCTCCATTAGGGCAACGCTCCTCAATGACTCCCGGAGGAGGTAGAGAGATCCCACCTGGGAGACTGGAAGCAGGAACTTAGCCCCTTCTCCTTCCTTTTTTAATCCTCTGGGTGCAGCTTTCAAAGTGCACGTGACTTCTACAACTCCCTAGGAGCAGGCAGAAACACTGAATTGGCTGTGGGGACGGGAGGGGATGTGTTCTGGTCTAGTGTCAGTAATGAAGTTCAGTATTCAGGAGCCCCTTTCTTTGCAGCTACTGTACAAACCATATTCTCCATTGTTGACTATATGTGGATTCATAATAAAGATGATATTCTGGTCTCTATCTGATGAGTCCTTTTTCTTTTTTCTCAGTTGGTTCAGGATTCAGGTAGGGAATGGGAACAGGAGGTCTTGGGCACCCTGAAGATCTTCAAGAAGATCTTCAACATGGTAAATGTCATGGAAAGTGTCTTTTTTTTTTTTTTGGAGACAGAGTCTCACTATCACCCTTGGTAAAGTACCATGGCGTGACAACTCACAGCAACCTCAAATTCTTGGGCCTAAGCGATTCTCTTGCCTCAGCCTCCCAAGTAGCTGGGACTACAGGTGCCTGCCACAATGCCCGGCTATTTTTTGTTGCAGTTGTCATTGTTGTTTAGCTGTCTCTGGCTGGGTTTGAACCCGCCACCCTCGGTATATGTGGCTGGCACCCTCACCACTGTGCTATGGGCGCTGAGCCCATATAAAGTGTCTTTAAGAAAAACATACCTCCTTCCCACCCCTGATTCTCAGTCTCTGAGGTTCCAAGTTCTCCTCCCCAGAGGCAACTTCTAAGACCAGTTAATTGTGTTTTCTTCTAGAGATACACAAATACACACACAGACACACACACAATCAGTTTTATACATGGATATATTCTCTCTTGTGTGTGAGGTGAGCACACTCAGAAGTCTGTTCAGGAACTTATACTTTTCATTTAGCAATGTATCCTGGAAACCTTTTATTAGCACACACAAGGCTACTTCCTTTTAATGGCTGCATTGTGCTCCACTGACCAGTCTCCTCTCAGTAGATCTTGAGGATTGTTCCCCAATCTTCCACTGTTTCAACTCTCTGGAAGTGTGAACTTGAGTAACCTACTTTCTCTGTGCCTCCATTTCTGTATCTAAAATAAGAATAATGACTATAATCCCGTACTGTTCCATGAGAATTCCATGGATAAATGCCAAGTGCTGAGAACAGTGCTCTGAGTGTTAATAAACCTAGGTTTTAGGGCGGCGCCTGTGGTTCAAAGGAGTAAGGTGCCAGCTGAATATGCCAGAGGTGGAGGGTTCAAACCCAGCTCTGGCCAAAAACTGCAAAAAAAAAAAAAACCAAAAAACCCTAGGTTTTAGCCAATTTGATGACTGCTATAATCAAACTTATATGGGTAATTTGCCACACATTTAAGCAGGATACTTTCTTAGAAATAGAATTTATTTTATTGTTGTATCTTACCCTACTTGCAAGTTAAGAAACAGAATTTAAATGTTGTTAGCTACTGCCAAATTGCCTTCCATAGTACTTGTGCCAGCTTACTGTCCCACCAGGAGTGTATGTGTGTCTTGGTGCCCCCCAATCTTGCCCACACAATTTGCAAACCTTTAGAATTTTGTCAATCTTATTGATGAAAAATATTATCTAATTGTAGTTCTAATTACTATGTATCTTCTTATGAGTAAAGTTGAGTATCTTTTCATCTGTTTAAGAGCCAGTCATGTACCTTTTCTGTGAATTGTCCAACCACATCCTTTGCCCTTTTTTCTGTTGCTGACTTTTTTTCCCCTATTGATTTATAAAAGATCTTTATATATGAAGAAAATTAGGCCAGGCATGGTAGTGAATTACCTGTAATTCCAGAGGCTAAGGTGTAAGGATTACCTGAGGCCAGGAGTTCAAGACCAGCTGGGGAAACATAGTGAGACCTTATCTGTATAAAAAATTCAAGTATTGGGCAGTGCCTATGGCTCAGTGAGTAGGGCGCCAGCGCCATATACTGAGGGTGGTGGGTTCAAACCCGGCCCCAGCCAAACTGCAACAAAAAAATAGCCAGGCGTGTGGCGGGCACCTGTAGTCCCAGCTACTTGGGAGGCTGAGGCAAGAGAATCACCTAACCCCAAGAGCTGGAGGTTACTGTGAGCTGTGACTCCACAGCACTCTACCGAGGGTGACAAAGTAAGACTCTGTCTCTAAAGAAAAAAAAATTCAAGTATTATCTGGCTGTGGTGAATCATGCCTGTAGTTTTAGCTACTTGAGAGGCTGAGACAGGAGCCTTGAAGTTTAATTTCAGTGAGCTATAACCATGCCACTTCACTCCAGCAACAAAGACCCTGTCTCTTAAGAAAAAACAATAAATAATTAAAAAAAAAAAAGAAAATCAGTTCGGGCAGTGCCTGTGGCTCAAGGAGTAGGGCGCTGGCCCCATATGCCGAGGGTGGTGGGTTCAAACCCAGCCCCAGCCAAAAAAAAAAAAAAAAATTAGCTCTTTGACTTTTTAGTGGTATTTTATAAGCCAAGTTGATTTCTTTCTAGTCTGGGCTTTATGTCATACATTCAAAGGCATGTAGCATTCGGAAATAATTTTTAAAATTCTGCTATATCGTCTGGCATGCATGGTGGCTTATGCCTGTAATCCCAGTACTCTGGGAGGCCAAGGTGAGAGGATCACTTGAGGTCAGGCTGAGTAAAGCAAGACCTCATCTTTACTAGAAATAGAAATATAAGCTGGTGGTGGGTGTCTGTAGTCCCAGCTACTAGGGAGGCAAGAAGATTGCTTGAGCCCAGAGTTTAAGGTTGCTGTTAGCTAGGTTGATGCCATGACACCCTTGCCTGGGGCAATAGAATGAAACTTTGTCTCAAAAAAAAAAATTCTCCTATCTCTTCTTCTGGTATTTTTATAATTTTTATAGCTATATTTTTGACATGTCTGGAATTTATTTTGATATAAAAAATGAGATATGAATCCTATTTTATTTTTATCTACATGGTTACCTATGGTTATCTTTTTTTTTTTTAGAGGCAGAGTCTCATTCTGTCACCTTCAGTAGAGTGCCGTGACATCACAGCTCACAGCAACCTCAAGCTCTTGGGCTTAAGTGATTCTGTTGCCTCAGCCTCCCAAGGAGCTGGGACTACAGGTGCCTGCCACAAGGCCCAGCTATTTTTTGGTTGTAGTTGTCATTTTTGTTTAGTTGGCCTGGGCTGGGTTCGAACCTGCCAGCTCCAGTGTATGTGGCTGGCGCCGTAACCACTGTGCTATGGGTGCTGAGCCTCTTCTTGGTATTTTTAATGGGATTGCTTTTGTTCATTGGGATCTGAGGGAATTAATGTTTAGAAGAATTTTTATCTTTGGGTCTTATATAGTACCATTATGGATATCTCTTTATTTGTTTGTTTGTTTAATTTATTTCATATTTTTTTGAGACAGAATCTCACCCTGTTGCCCCGGGTGAGATTCTGTTTCAGAAAAATATTAAATAAAAACTTGCCCAAGTGAATGCAGCTAGTTAATGGCACGACTTTAATTTAATTTAATTTATATATATATTTTGAGATAGAGTCTCACTTTGTTGCCCTCAGTAGAGTGCCGTGGCATCACAGCTTACAGCATCTTCAAACTTTTGGGCTTAAGTGATTCTCTTGCTTCAACCTCCCAGATAGCTGGGACTAAAGGTGCCTACCACAATGCCAACTATTTTTTTAGAGAGACAAGGTCTCACTCTGGCTCTGGCTCATGCAGGTCTAGAACTCATGAGCTCAGGCAATCCACCCTCCTTAGCTTCCTAGAGTTCTAGGGTTACAGGCAGGAGCCACTGTGCCCCGCCTGCACACCTTGTTTCAGCATACTATCACCTGTTAATTTTTTTAGCTTTGGATGAGGTCTGAACTTTTGGTCCTGACTGCTGGAGAAGATGATGGTAACCGATGAAGAAAGAGCCAACATTGTGGAGGGTTTGCCTTTATTTCAAGTTCTTGATAGATGGTTCATTTGGTTGACTCCTCCCAAGTGGATCCACGATGCTAGGTGAATACTCTGTGCACTAAGCTCTGTACCACATGCTCCGGAAAGGTACGAGGGAGGCAGTCTCAGCACTTGAGGGGCTAACAGGCTGTCCGTTAAAGTGGGAGGGCCAGTGATATTTTCTCTGGCTCGGAAAAAGAGTGACCATTGGTCTTCAAAATTGCTGGCCAGCATCGCCAGGTCACACCCAGACAACTCTTAACTGCAGTTTCACAAAGGTCGTGGTCCAAAATTTGTTAAAGAAAAAAAAAGAAAACAGTGTATGAGGATGGCGTGCTGAAAAGGCAGATCTGGATTCAAGCCTCACTGGAAAGGCAAGGTGAGTGTTCTGCTTTAATTTGAGCATAGACTATGGGGTCCAAGTCTGCAGAACAAGTCTCAGTCAAGTGATTGCCCTTTTCTTCTGAGATTTTGAAAGTCATGCTGGCATAGTTTAGTGATTCCTCTGAGACAGATGAAAGCTACAGGGAAAGAGAAAGGAGGAATGAATAAGTTCAATTTGGAGATGAAGATATATCCTTAGAAGCAACCTGAAAGCTTTGGTCAGAGAAGACCCAAGGAGATAAAAAGAGCCCTTCAGTCATTTGCTCAGTGGCCAGAAAGCAACACTATTAGTCTAGGGTAGAGGCAGTAGCCCAGTGACAGTAGCCCTCTAGCGTCTTGGAAACAGCATGGTCATCTTACCTTGGCTGGAAGACCTGAACGAGGGTCCAGGGCCTGGGGACTGGGGTGACCTGCCACAAGAGTCAGAAAGAGGAACAAATCTCACCAATGGAGCCTAGATGAAAGGGGAACCTCTCCCTTCAATCTTGGGTGAAAGGGTGGGGCAGGAAGGAATTGCTGGAGGGTGGGGAACATAGGGAGGAAGAGAAATCAAGGTCCTGAGTCCCCAGTCTGCAAAGAGGGTGGGCTGGCAGGAACACCCCCCCCCCACCTCCTCCCATTACTCACTCATAGTTAACTCTCCTCCCAATGCCAGAGGGGGAAGGGCTGCCCCGTTCCTTGGGGACTGCTTACATTTTCTGTAGCCCTTTACGATGAGGAAGACAAGTGCCACCAGCAGCAGTGTCAGCAGAACCCCAGCAGAAAAGGCCAGAATTAAATCATTTTTGCTGTTTTGGCTAAGAGAGGGAACAGATGAATTGTTGGGCTTTTTGAAAGCCTCTCTTAAAGGCCAGAGTACAACCTTTCCCACGTATAGATGAGCCCCTAAAATGGCTTTCCTACTGGTTATGGACTTTAACTCTCATCCACTGATTTTCAACATTTTGCTTTTGAGTTTTAGATCCACCTGAGGTGTCAATGAAAGCTGTAGCCTATCCTATCCCTCCTACCCTATACACAATGATCATAGGCAAATCTTTTTTTTTGAGACAGAGTCTCACTATGTCACCCTCAGTAGAGTAGTCATGGCATCATAGCTCATAGCAACCTCCAACTCTTGGGCTTAAGCGATTCTCTTGCCTCAGCCCTCCGAAGTAGCTGGGACTACAGATGCCCATCACAAAACCTGGCTATTTTTTGGTTGCAGTTGTTTAGCTGGCCCGGGCCCGATTGGAACCCACCAATCTCCGTGTATGTGGCTGGCACCATAACCACTGTGCTAGGGGTGCCGAACCCATAAGCAAATTTTATCTATGGGCTTAGAGGATTCATAAAAGCCCTGGAGCTTGGGCAACACAAAGTTAAGAATCACATTCCTAAGGTCAAAAACGAATTTGGTTCTTCTCACTGTTTCTGGTCCCTTCTCCCTAGACTCCCCCGCCTAAGTCCCTAAGCCAAAGCTGTCAACACAAAATCAAACGCCATGTGGAGTGGTACAAAATGAAATGGATGCAAGAACGATCATTTACTTGGTGACATTAGAGAGACAGGGTGCCCAGCTAGTCCAGGTAGTCGACCTGGTCATGGGGGTTGGTGTGGTGGAGATGAATCGTCCTTTGCCTAGGAGAGAACATGAAATAAATTAATGTCTCTTCCATGTCTCATGAAATCTTTCCAATTTAAGTGTCCTCAGGTGCTCTGCCCTGCTCAGGCAACCAATGGAGTAACAATGGGGCTGCAACTCTATAAAAGAGGAGAATACTTTTTCTTTTTAAACCCTGAGTCCTTTAGAATGAAAATTAGAACTGGGACTTTAAAAACAATCCGCTACACAAATGAAAGAAGTACAAGCCTAGAGTACCTCTCATGAATGAAAACATCTCATGTGTCTTCCTCCTCCAAGATTTTGGTAGGAACTCCTGGAAAGATATGCTTCCTTTGACCCAAACAGAGATCTCTAGGGTAGGGAGAAACGGAACAAGTATTTCCCAGAGTCCTGGGGAATTTGACCTTGGCTTTTCTGGTTTGCTTGTTTATTGGCAGAGCAAGCTACTAACAGTGACTTGCCACAGAGATTTTCCCACAGCCTATGCCACAAATAAAAGAGCAGCGAGAAAAGTGAACAGGATTCTGGCAAACTGGCCTGCGGGTCTAATAGAAAACACAGAGACTTTTTTTTTTTTTTAGTTCCGATCTGGAGGGCCAGGCAGTTCTCTCTCTGCTTCCTCCTTTCAATTCTCCTGGCATTAGATTCTACAGTAGGCTAAAATCTGATTCTTTCAACTTTAGAAATGCAGCAGCCACTGCTGTCCCTTTACAGCTTTGGCTAGCACAATTTCTAGGTCTTTTAACTCAGCAGTGAGACAGGATCCTGTTCAGTTCCTGTCCTGAACTCATCTCTGTTGGTTTTAGGTGTGGAGTGACCTCCTCCCATGCTATCTTCCCCTGAGAATAGAAAAGGCACCATTTAGAGAGCTTGGAAAGAAGACACAGTTGAGGGGCCAACGCTGGGGCTGTGACTATAGTGTAAGAACAGTAACAATGAGAGAGAGGCAAACTGTGTGTGTTCTAGTGCCCAAAATGGTCACAGACTTTACCTGGTGTAGCTACTGCAGCTCAGTAGTCAGCCCTCAGGTTTGCCGGTACAGAAACTTGATCTTATGGGACACCACAAATCGACTGCTGGATTGTCTGTTGGATTCCTCAACCAACTCACAGGAGACTGATGTATAAACTGAAATAACAGAAGGAACACAGGGGTGTAACCAGCACATTCTACACATCAGAACCTATACAAATGTCATTTAAAACCACCTTGGCAGGCGCTGAACTAAAGTATGAGAGAAGATGAATGGATGATTTTCATACAGACTATCATCCAGGTCTGATGCAAGAAACTTATTCTTCCCTGCCAGGGCCATGTGAACTTAACTCTTGCAGGCTCTTCCTCTAGGCTCCATCAGACACTTCTATTCACCTATTATCTTTTCAAGTATGCCAATATCCTTGACTAGGCAATGGTTCTGTTTGTTATGTTAATCCTCTACATTTTCCCTCTTTTTTTTTTTTTTTTTTGAGACAGAGTCTTATTTTGTCACCCTCAGTAGAGTGCTGTGGCATTGCAGCTCAAAGCAAACTCAAACTCTTTTTTTTTTTGAGACAGAGCCTCAAGCTGTCCCCCTGGGTAGAGTGCTGTGGCATCACAACTCACAGCAACCTCCAACTCCTGGGCTCAAGCGAGTCTCTTGCCTCAGACTCCCAAGTAGCTGGGACTATAGGCGCCCACCACAACACCGGGCTATTTTTTTTGTTGTTGTTGTCATGTTGTTTAGCAGGCCTGGGCAGAGGCCCAACCTGTCAGCCCCAGTGTATGTGGCCAGTGCCCTAACCACTGAGCTACAGATGCTGAGCCTTCTCCCCCCTCTTTTAAAAATGTTTTTAAACCAAAAAGCATAAAGTGTCTCAAGGCAGAAGCAAAATCACCCAAGCTCCTACTACCCCTTGTTAATATTTTCGCATCTCTCCTTTTAGTCACACTTCCATGCATTTCTTAAAAGAACTGGCTGATATTTCTTTATATGAGAGGTTATGTTATCTTTTTTTACTCAGCATTCTATCATATAAATTCTCCTACAAAAACTTTTTATGGGACGGCCACCATGTTCTCCGGCTTGGCCGGCCAGCCAGGCAACATGGAGGACCTGACCTGGGCACCTACGACCGCTAATTCTCAGTTGTCCTCTTCCTGCAGGGCTGCGTGCGCTCTGCTGCCCGCCTCCTCGGTCAGTCATGTTGGAGCATCTGAGTTCACTGCCCAGGCAGATGGACTACAAGGGCCAGAAGCTGGCTGAACAGATGTTTCAGGGAATTATTCTTTTTTCTGTGACAGTTGGATTTATCCACAGGTACGTGGCTGAGTATTTCAGGTGGACTGTCTGTATAGTTATGGCTGGATTTGCATTTTCATGTTTGCTGACACTTCCTCCTTGGCCTATCTATGGCCGACATCCTCTCAAGTGGTTACCTGTTCAAGACTCAGGCATAGAAGATAAGAAACCAGGGGAAAGAAAAATTAAGAGGCTTGCTAAAAATAATTAATTGGAGTTTTCATGATCAGCACCTGCTTTCATTTCCTGTGAGATGAGTTAAATTGCTGTCTACCCCAAATATAAGCTAAACCACCTATGCGCTTACCAAACACCTGTGTATAGATTTAGTTTCATTTCTAACCTAGGTGGGTTTTGACTTATAAATAGTTCAGACCCTGTCTTCATAATCTTCCTCTGAAATGTGGAACAGAAAACATGAGTTACGTTGTTTCTTTCAGGTATACATAAATAACAGAATAAATATCTCAGATCTCAAGGGATAGTGCAATTTAACTATCAAAGTTTTATAATTCATTATGAGTCATTAAACCGTATTAATGTTTCCAATTAAAATGCATAGTGCAAGTTAAAAAAAACTTTTTATAACATTGTTAGTGGTGATAGGTCTTTTCGCAATATCACTGTATTATAACTTGCTTAATCAGTTCCCCCCTTATTGATACAATTGTTTCCATTTTTATTTAAATAAATAACAGTTAAACAGACTTTAAAATTTTTTTTTATTTAACATTTCTTCGCAATTATTTACCATAATTTGCAGTTTTTTTTTTTGGCTGGGGCTGGGTTGGAACCCACCACCTCCAGCATATGGGGCTGGTGCCCCACTCCTTAAGCCACAGGGTCCGCCCCAAGTAGACATTTTTATGCATAAAATTTTATAGGCATCCCTGATTGTTTTTTAGAAGGCCATAACTTGACTTCATATTTAGGCAAAGCCACGATAACGTTTTTTGGCTCTGCTATTTCTGCTATATTTCGAAGGAATTTAGACAATAAATTTCATCAATGATTTATAGTTTTAATTGTTCAGTTCTCAAAATAGCTCATTGCCATGTACTGGTTACAATAGCAGCAATGGCAACACTATTATGTATCTTATCAGTGACCAAACATTTTTAGGTCATGCAATGTAGAATAAATAAGAAGACGGGGGCTAACAGGAAAATTTGGCAAGAAGTCTGAGCCATGAGAATAAGAAGCCCACAGTCCCCAGCAGGATCAGCACTGGTAATTTTTCTTTCTTTCTTTCTTTTTTCTTCTTCTTGTATTCCTCTCCTGACACTGAGGGAGGCTTCTCTGGACTCCCAGGTGGCTTCTTTTGTAATTTATAAGTCAATGGTGTTCTTTGCAGAGTACCATAAAATATTCCTAACTATTTTACCAATATGTGTTGGTACCTCTCCTGACACTAAGGGGGGCTTCTCTGTACTCCGAGGTGGCTTCTTTTGTAATTTATAAGGCAATGGTGTTCTTCGCAGAGTACCATAAAATATTCCTAACTATTTTACCAATCTGTGTTGGTACTATACAGAATATCAAGTAGACCTCATCACTGGGCAGATGGAGAGGCCACCATCATTGGTTTCTGTAAAATCCTGACCTTCACATCAGTACTTCTGAATTTACAGAAGTATTACCATAGCTACCCTGAAAAAGTTAGGCCACTCCACCCTGACAGACAAAATGTTCACACAATGACACAGGGAAATAGCTACTCAAAAATCCAAGCCAAGAAAAGCAGGAAACACATTTCCCTTTGAGAACAACAATCTAAAATGTTTGACAGAAGCATAAATTAAAATAGAAACAGCGCTATATATACTTTTTCATGTTTTGTCCGGCCATGGAGAATCCTACTGATTGCCATAAAATCCATCAACCAAATAGAACTATTTAAATACAATCCTTCCCCCCTCGAATAAAAAGACACAAGATGATGGAAAACCACTAACACATTTTCTTTTGGTGAATGATTATTTCATCTAGATTAAAAGCATATAGTAAATTCATTTACCTTTTGAGAAAAATTCTGGTCACGAGATGCAATTGTCCAAGACTGAACATTTCGCTTGCTTCTATTACCACTTCTATGTTTCGGAAATGACGAAATAAAGATTTTTGTCTCTGCCAGTGCCACCATCAAGTTGCGTGTTGCAAAGATCTTTTCCAAGCCCAGCACTTCCTTTTTGAGGTAAGCATGACAAGTTTTTAAATCCTATAAGCAGAGAGAACTTTTTGTTCCTTTGTACATGCTGTCTTTTGACACCTGAACACAAGAACTTAGGAGATAAGACTAGTTTATTTCTAATTAAATATTTACTGAGTATTTACTTTAACCACCCTTCCAGTTATGGTGGAAGTCACAGCAATATGACATTACCACTGTCATCAGAAACTTGATAATCTTATCTATTGTATTTGTTTGTTTGTTTGAGACAGATTCTCACTCTGGGACCCTGGGTAGAGTGACGTAGTGTTACGGCTCACAGCAACCTGAAACTCTTCAGCTCAAGAGATCCTCTTGCCTCAGCCTCCAGAGTAGCTGAGACTACAGATACTCCTTACAATGAACTGGCTAGTTTTTTTATTTTTAGTAGAGATGGGGTCTCACTCCTGCTCAGGCTGGTCTCTAAACCCCTGAGCTTATGCAATCGACCCACCTTGGCCTTCTAGAGTGATAGATACACGTTTGAGCCACCTCCTGAGCCAATCTCATCTATTCTAGTCAGAGAGATGAGAATGATAGAGAAAACTGAAGAACAAACAATGTTAAGAGTTAAGTACTAGCTGTGCAGACTTCAAGCGTGTTACGACTATCGGGGTACTAAGTTTAAGTACTGTTATAAGGTATTATAATACTTACGATTTACTTTATAAGTAAAGGGAAGGTGAATCATTTATAAATATTTATTTATAAAATAATATTAATAAATATACTTATTAAATACATGCTATGGGCCATCAAGTGGGCTAGGTACTGTGGGTCTTTCAGAGAGCAAGATAGGTTCCTTTCCTCATGGAGCCTGCCATCTATTTGAGAAAATAAATGGACAAGTAAATGGTAGATGAATAACATATTGTGTTGAGGGTCATGAAGGAAAGAAATGGTGCTAGCTAGAGAGCAAATAATGGAAGACTATCTTTAGATCAGATGGAAGACTGGAGGAGACTCCAAGGAGTGGACATTTACCCTGAGAACCTGAGAGTAGGAAGGCATTATGTAGGCTGAGAGCCTGGAGAAGAGGCTTTCAGGCCAAGGGAAGAGCAACTCACAGATGTGGAAGAAGGGGAGAACTGGCCAAGCAGTACTTATATAATAGTACTTAAATCAGGCCAGGGCTTGCAGGTGAACCTCAAGCTGCAGCAAGGATAGGCTTTGGATGGTGGGAAAAAAATGAGGCTGCATGAGTGTGTGTCCCAGGCCCAGCAGTGGTGGCTGGGACTCAAGATATGCCTTTCTGGGATATCAGCATCATTCAAGAGTGGGGCATTTGAAGAGGGTGGGAGGTGGAAAATAGTTATGTAGATGGATTACAGCCAGATGGTGGGGAGCTTTCAATCCAAGCAAAATATATAAAGTATATTTTGGTATAAGGAAGAACTAAAAGTCTTTGATTGTAATATAACATAACAAACATGGCCTGTAAGAAAAAATATACAATACCATATGAGATAAATTACAGGTAAGTAAAAAGACAAGGAAATAAGTTGGAGGGTATTGTGATACTCTGGGTATCATTTAGTAAGTGTGTGGGCACCAGGAATGGGAAAGAAGCCACGGGTGTGATAAGATTGGAGAACACACAACTTGGGACCTGGATATGGGGAACAAACTAGCAGGATGACTCAATAATTAACTTCAAATTCTTGATCGTCAGTGGCTGAGAGAATTCATTTTTTCATTTACTCCAAAAACATTTCCTTAACATTGACTATGTATCATATACTGTTGTAAGCTTTGAGGATATTGTGAAGAGCAAAAATATCCTTTTTCTGTCTTCATGGAACTTTCAGACTAGTAAAGGAGGCCCTTACCATGCAAAGAAGTAAATAGTAAATCGTGGCTACTACCTCTGCTGTGGACTCAATGCTGTGTGTGCCTATAACACAGGGGCAGGGGACCAGGGAAGCCTTTCTGGAGGAAAACATTCAGTCTGAAATCTGACATGTGAGGCAGAGATCCATCAGACCAAAAGGAAGAGAAAGTTCAGAGGAAATAGCTGAAAGAGCAAGGATGTGGTGGAGATCGCCTCATCTCTCTTCCATGTGAGATGACACTGGAGTGGGGATGGGGTGGAACCTGGTGAGAAGGAGGCTGAAGAGGCAGGAAGCAGCCAGTCTCTCAGCACTTTTGTCTTTGTTGTAAGAGAAGTGGGTATATCTATACTAAAGGTATTTAAACAAAGGGTAACATGGTCAGATTTTCATCTTGAACAACCACTAAAATTGGGGGAGAGAGAACAGATTGGAAGATACCCGGAAAAGATATGAATAGATGGGTTGAGAAGTTAGTGCAGTGATCCAGTTGAGGGGTAATAGTAACCTGGACTAGGATGGTAGCAGTGGAGAGATGAAGAGATGTCAATAGATTTGAGAGATATTTAGGCAACAAAACCAAGGGAAGATAAAAAGTCAGGTGGGCTCAGCGCCTGTGGCTCAAGTGGCTAAGGCGCCAGCCACATACACCTAAGGTGGAGGATTCGAATCCAGCCCGGGCCCGCCAAACAACAATGATGGCTGCAACCAAAAAATAGCCAGGCGTTGTGGCGGGTGCCTGTGGTCCCAGCTACTTGGGAGGCTGAGGCAGGAGACTCGCTTGAGCCCAGGAGTTGGAGGTTGCTGTGAGTTGTGATGCCACAGCACTGTACCCAGAGGGACAGCTTGAGGCTCTGTCTCAAAAAAAAAAAAAAAAAAAAAAAAGTCAGGCCATGATCAAGGGTATCACCAAAGGGTGAGAAGGAGGAAGAGGAGCCGGAGAAGGAAAAAGTGGTTCAAGACTTAAAGGGAAGATTGATTAATGAATCAGACATTTACTGAGCACCTAATATGGCCTAGACAGTCTACTAAGCCCCAGAGAGACAATGATGAGTAAGACATCATCCACAACTTGAGGGATTTTGCAGTTTTGTAGAGAGGCAGATATCTTCATTCATTTGCAAAACTATGTTCCAGACTGGCCAGCCACATAAATAAGCATAATGAAATGTT